GTATATATGTATGTATGTGTGTGTGTGTATGTATGTATGTATGTATGTATGTATGTATGTATGTATGTATGTATGTATGTATGTATGCATATATGCATGCATGTATGTATCTTTGCATGTATGTATATGTGTATGTATGTATGTATATAAGCATATATGTATGTATAATGTAAATATTTATAAATGCATGAATGTGTATGTGCACACACACACACACACACACACACACACACACACACACACACACACACACACACACACACACACACACACACACACACACACACATATATATATATATATATATATATATATATATATATATATATATATATATATATATGTGTGTGTGTGTGTGTGTGTGTGTGTGTGTGTGTGTGTGTACATGTATGTATATATACATATATACATATATATATATATATATATATATATATATATATATATATATATATATATATATATATATATATATATCTATCTATCTATCTATCTATCTATCTATCTATCTATCTATCTATATATATGCATCTACGTAAACCAGTAAAATCAGGGTCCTCGCAGGACACGCGTCTGGAGGTTATATATACGAGACAAGCGTATGCGGAGGAGGGGGGGGGGCGAGGTAGAAATATTAGGATTTAGTGTGTGTGTATCACAGAAAGAGAGATAGATAGATAGATAGATAGATAGACAGATAGATAGACAGATAGATAGACAGATAGATAGGCAGATAGATAGACAGATAATAATAAAGAGAGAGAGATAAAGAGAAGAGAAAGAGAGAAAGAGAGAGAGAGAGAGAGAGAGAGAGAGAGAGAGAGAGAGAGAGAGAGAGAGAGAGAGAGAGAGAGAGAGAGAGAGAGAGAGAGAGAGAGAGAGAGAGGAGAGAGAGAGAGAAAATGAGAGAGAGAGAGAGAGAAGATGAGAGAGAGAGAGAGAGAGAGAGAGAGAGAGAGAGAGAGAGAGAGAGAGAGAGAGAGAGAGAGAGAGAGAGAGAGAGAGAGAGAATGAGAGAGAGAATGAGAGAGAGAATGAGAGGGAGAGAGAGAGAGAGAGAGAGAGAGAGAGAGAGAGAGAGAGAGAGAGAGAGAGAGAGAGAGAGAGAGAGAGAGAGAGAGAGAGAGAGAGAGATGTACATTACGAACCCAGGATATACTATTCGACCTGCACGCAAAGACAATACACATATTATTATATCTCACCTTTATTTTATGAGGTCAATCTACGGAGACATGTTATACACAAAGACCGAAGGTTTCACGACTTCACAAATTAACATCACTGTGCACAAGAGAGAATTTAGCGACGTTCAGCTGAATACAAAATCCTACCCTTTTCCTACCTCCCTTGTAAGACCATCATTATCTTCCCCTTCCATACAGGGAACACTTAAAAAAAAAAGAAAGAAAAAGGAAAAAAAACAAAAAACAAACACGTCTATCCCTTACCACAGTTCATCAACCACGCTTATTGCCTGCCTGAGGTCTGGCATTACTCACTGTCAGCGTGTGTGTTTACGCATGAAATTCATCTTTGCAGGATATTATGAGCCGAGCCTGCATGACCAGGCTATCCCGAGGTGGGGCAACAACATCAGCTCTGGGCACACCGTTGTGATCGCTCGAGGGACGTTAAGGCATAAGAAAGAGGCTTTTCTCTCCCTCTCCGGTCCATGCAAATACCTCAAGTTCCTCGTCGGCTGAAGAAGAGTTCCGCGCCACCATGGGCAAGAGCAACGACAAGAAAGCCCAGCGAAGCGACAGCAGTAAGTTGGGAAGGACTGCGTTGGGCTCGTGTGTTGGGTGTGATTCTTCGCATGAGGCTGCGAGTTTTTTTGTTTTTTTTTTCTGTGTTTTTATTGTGTTTGATTCATGGTTGTTTGCTTTAAAAAAAAGGTTTGAATGTGTGTTTTTTTTCTCTTATATTCAAAGTGTGTTTGGTGTCTAGACTTTGCTAGATAAATCTTTTTCTTGTGATTTCGGGAATCTGTTGCATCTTTAAATAACTACAAGAAATACAAAATAGAAAACATATAATGTATTGCTTTGAACATAAATTGTTTTCGTCAGCAAGAAAAGGCTTTAAAGATTTACATACGACTATTCAAAGATTTCTTGGCAAAAGTTTATATTAGAAATTTTGGAGCAGTTTGATTCATCCGTTATTCTTTCATTTCGCTATATGTGTATATATACATACATACATAATATATATATATATATATATATATATATATATATATATATATATATATATATATATATATATGTATATATGTATATATATGGATGTGTGTGTATGTCTATCTATCTATTTATATGTATACATATATATGTGTACATGTATACATACATATATATGTATATGTATATTTATATATACACATATATAAGTATACATTCATATGCATATATATGTATGCATACATATATATACAATATATATATATATAGATATAGATAGATCGATGGATAGGTATTAAATACAGAAAAATACAAAATATTTGAATTTTTTATTATACAAAGGCTTCCCATAGACTTCTGCATTACATAACCCTTTTGTTATGAGGACTAACATAAAATTAACTGCGCACACAATAGCCTTACAAGGTAGTTAATTCAGGACAATTTATCTTTTCTCGATATATCTTCTTTCCAATCAAATAAACTAACTTAAATGTGATTCACACGAATTATACATGAACTGTAAATGCTTGGAATAAATATTAGTACCACTAAGATTATAAAGCTACGGTATAAATAGTCTGTTGGGCTATGTACTATTCTATAACGTATAATATTTGATTTTCATTTGCAAACATATAGTACCCTTTTCTACACACATGAATTCAATAAGTGCAAGAAAAAATGAATTTACGAAATAGAAAAAAAGAAGTCAATTTTGAATTTAATAATCTTCGTTCCATTCGTTATACCTTTTCATGTTTTCCTTTGATATATTTCGTTGTTATTCGCTTCAAAATCATCGCATTTCCGAACCCAAGATCGTTTCATCAGACATCATCCTTTACGGTCCCCTCTCTCGAAATTCCACCCAGATTGCATTCTCTCCCCTCTGGTTTGTACTTGCAACATTTTCGGTTTTAATCATTTCTCTCTTTTCCTCTTCCTTTTTCATCCGGCCATCGTCCTTTCTTCCGCATTTCTCGCAACGACCTCCTTCGCTGGCTCTCCCGTCTTCTCTCGTTCAAGCTCGTCTAACCGAACTGGAGGATGTTGGACACCTCGGAGTGGGCGGCGCTCTGGAAGTCCTGGGAGCAGAGGTTATCAAACCACGCCCCCGGGCAGCCTAGGGTCTCGAAGCACTCGTCGCGCCCGTGGCCCGAGCGAGCGCCGCAGCACGACACGATGGCCCACAAGCAAGGGCTGTTGTTGTCGTTCCCGTTGTTGTTGTTGTTGTTGCTGTGTCTGCCGAAGAGAGAGAGAACGGGGGGAATTATTAGTTTTTCGCGAACAGAAGCAAGAGAGAAATGTAAGCGGTTCGTTTGGAATAGCGTGTTTTCGTCGTGCATAAGCTAGTCCTGGGGCATTAGCACCGACCATCTAAAAAAAAGGAAGAAAATAAAAGAAAGAAAAAAATAGGTGGTTTATCTGGATTTTCGAAATGTGAAATATTATGGTTTCACTTTAATGTACCCCGAGCATAGGTTATCTGTGTGGAAAACAGGGCGGAGATACCAGCAGATACCAGTTGGAAAAAAGGGAGAACTGGATGTGATTTGCCTCAAATAATAACTACATACCGAAAAGACAGGAACATTTGCGAAAGACAGGAAAACGCGGTGGATTTCAGCCTTGTCGATATATGCCGTTTGTGCTTTTAATATGAAACTGTATTGCAATACTATTGGTTATCGGGGGAAGTTCAGAGAGTTTCGATGTTTTTATTCTTTACTTATCGCAATCATAAAGCTAAAAAAAAAATAGTGTGGGTGGGGAGACGATGTTGATTTTCAAATAAGTGAATGGTTGATTATATAAAGAAATAAGGGAAATATATATCATCTACATGGGATTAATGTGATAGTTTTATATGAAGAAATAGCAGTAACTTAATTTAAGTTTAAAGTATTAATAAAAATAGGGTTGTGTATATTATGCAGTATGAAAAAAGTTATGAACACGATCTTTTAAACAAAGCGCGCTAGATATTCATATTTTCATATAATATTGCATACAAAAATAACAGAGACAAATTACGCACAATCAAATCTCTATTAAGACATAATGACCTTTAACATTTTAAATATTGGAGTTTATCTGTTTGTCGTATTTGATGACTCCAGCTCTAATGATGAAGGATACGCGTATTTTTTAAAACATCTTTGCATGCATCTGCCACTTAGTTTGGCTTGTTTCTCTTCTGTTTCTCTATTCTTATCTATTTCTTTGTCTGTATCTCTTTCTCTTTCTCTTTCTCTGTCTCTCTCTCTTTATCTCTCTCTCTCTCTCTCTCTCTCTCTCTTTATCTCTCTCTCTCTCTCTCTCTCTCTCTCTCTCTCTCTCTCACTCTCTCACTCTCACTCTCACTCTCACTCTCACTCTCACTCTCACTCTCACTCTCACTCTCACTCTCTCACTCTCACTCTCACTCTCACTCTCACTCTCTCTCTCACTCTCACTCTCACTCTTACTCTTACTCTTACTCTCTCTCTCTCTCTCTCTCTCTCTCTCTCTCTCTCTCTCTCTCTCTCTCTCTCTCTCTCTCTCTCTCTCTCTCTCTCTCTCTCCATCCCCATTTCCATCTCTGTCTCCAGCTCAAACTCTAACTCCATCTACGTCTTCATTTCTATCTCCATCACCCTCTCCCTCTCCCTCTCCCTCTCCCTCTCCCTCTCCCTCCATCACAGACCCACAGCCTCTGATTCTCTCCTTCCTTCCTTCTACCATCAAACCTCACCATTTTCTGGGAAAAATGAAGCAATCTCTCTTTTTTCATCAAATTCCCAGAAACTTTGGATCACAGGTAATTTCAGTTAGTTAGTGTCTCTTGGGAAAAAAGTATGTCTGTCTGTCTGTCTGTCTGTCTGTCTGTCTGTCTGCTTGTCTTTCGCTGTCTCTCTCTTTCCAGGAATCTACTAACATGCAACAAAACTAAAAAATAAATAAATAAATAAATAAAAGAAAAAGAAAGAAAAAAAAAGTGAAATCAAAATTAAAAAAGAAGAAGAAGAAAAGCGAATGGAAAAGGAAAAACAAGGACTAAACACTGAATGTAAAAAAAAGAAAAAACAGACCGATAATTTTCTTTCTTTTTTTTTTTCCTCGTTACTATTTGACATTGCAGCAGCGCCGTTCCCTTTGGACTGCAAGAAAGATGCAAGAAAGTCCAAAGGGGCGCCTGAGACGTCGTCCTTAGCCGCAGGTAATATAGATAATCCTTCTTAGAGGCTCGCTGACGTCCTTAAGATAAAGAGGAAGTTAACAAAGACAAGAAAGAGGCGGGAACTAGGAAGATAAAGAGGGTGGGAGGTGAATGAAGGAGGTGCATGGGGAATGGGAGGGAGGAAGGGAGAGGGATGAGAGGGGAGAGGGGGATAAGAGGGATGAGAGAGGAGAGGGATGAGAGGAAGAGGGGAAAGAGAGGGGGAGGAGAGGGAGAAGGAGAGGAAGGAGAGAGAGAGGGAGGAGAGGGAGAGGGAAGAGGAAGGGAAGAGGAAGGGGAGAGGGGAAGGGGAGAGGGCGTGGGAGTTGGAGAGGGAAAGGGGGAAGGAGAGGAAGGGTGAGTGAGTGAGGAAGGGGGGGGGGACGAGAGGGAGAGGGAGAGGGAGAGGAAGAAGGACAGGAGAGGAAGAGAAAGAGAGGGAGGAGGGGGAGAGGAAAAGCGAGAGAGAGAGAAAGGACGAGAGAGAGAGAGAGAGAGAGAGAGAGAGAGAGAGAGAGAGAGAGAGAGAGAGAGAGAGAGAGAGAGAGAGAGAGAGAGAGAGAGAGAGAGATGCAAAGAGAAGCGAGAGAGAAATGAAAACAGCCGAGCGAGACAGAGAAACAGGAAACCCAGAATCCAAACAAAGAAACCCGCCCTACCCCACTCAGCATCCCAAAAACCACCCAAGTCCTACTTACGCCTCGCTCGCCTGCGCAGACCTCGTGTTCACTGAGCCGTCGTGAATGTAGGCGAATTCCCACACATTGAACACGGGATTATTATCTCGGGGTCCCTCGCCTGGTCCCATCTGGCCTCCCTCGCTGGCGAAGGGCAGGGCGGCGGCCAGCCCACACACGCCCACCATGAGGTAAGCAAGACACGCCCGCGTCTTCATCTGCAAGGGTTTAAGAGGATCAGAAAATTGCATTCATTTGCAGTACATCAGGGTGTTGCATAAACATCGTGGTCTCGCGAGATGGGAAAGCGGGCGTGCGGAGCTATTTGAAGAGGAATTAAAATGAAAACAAATTGAACATACACACAGGAATATTTATACATACATTACAATTACATACACATATGTATTATGCGTACACACTGTGCATTTTTGTGTGTGTTTTATTGTGTGTGTGTTTGTGTTTGAGTGTGTGTGTGTGTGTGTGTGTGTGTGTGTGTGTGTGTGTGTGTGTGTGTGTGTGTGTGTGTGTGTGTGTGTGTGTGTGTGTGTGTGTGTGTGTGTGTGTGTGTGCGTGCGTGCGTGCGTGCGTGTGTACGTGTGTGTGTGCGTGCGTGTGTGCGTGCGTGTGTGCCCGTGCGTGTGTTCGTGCACTGGCCTTCCTCCGTAGGGGGGGAGAGGGTGACAGGTTCAACCACGGGAGGGAAATGAGCAGTTTAACCGCAATGATATCTTTGAGGACTTAATTACGTCTTGAAGAAGGCAGGTCGCAGGGGGAGGAGGCGGAGGGGGAGGGAGAGGGGGTGGAGAAGAGGAAGAGGAAAAGGGAGAAAGCGAAGGAGAGGGAGAGGACGAGGAAAAGGGGATGGTGAAGAGGAAAGGGTAGGGGAGAAAGAGGGGAGGAGAAGCAGAAGAAGATGGATAATGAAAGGGATAAGGAAATGGAAAGAGAGATGGGGAGAGAGAGAGAGAGAAAGGGAAAGGGAGAAGAAAAGGGAGAAGGGGAGACAGAGGAAGAGGGAGAGGAAGAGAAAAAAGGAGAAGAAGGGAAGAGGACGAGAAATGGGAAGGGACAGGGAAAGACAGAAGCAGACGCACAGAGGGAGAAGGAAGATGATAAGGAGATCGGAGAGGGAACAGGGAAGGGGAAGAAGAAGAAGAGGAAAGAAGAGGAAGGAAAAGTAAGAAAATTAAAATGAGAGAGAGAGAGAGAGAGAGGGGGGGGGGGGGCGCGTGGGGTTCATTTCTACGGCAAAGGAATGCTCTTAAACTCTCACCTTTGACCTTGTCCCCTGTCGAGGTTCTTTTCATATTTTATGCATCTGACCTCTCATCTGTCGCGTGACCTTTCGTTAGTAGCATTAGCCCTAAGTAGCCTAGAAACCTGCTTCGTGCCTTTGAAATGCCTCCTTCGGTCCAAGGGTCAGTTTATATGACACCAAGACTGCGTTGAGTCTGTTAAATTATTTTGTCATTTTCCCATATTATTTCTGTCAATATATGTTCTGTCATCATCCTATTAATTTATCTGTCATAAGCGATCGGCCTATCTGTCATCCGTCGATCTATCTGTCTGGCATCTGTTGAATTATCTATCTTTCATACGTCGATCTATCGATCTTTCACTGTCGATCTGTCTCAATCACTATAAATTTATTATTCGTCGATCTATCTACAACTATCCATCTCTGTCAGTCTATATTCTATCTATCTATCTATCGCATCCACAATACCAGCAACAATGAACGCACATACAGACAAACAAATAAACAAACAAACAAATTCCTCGCCAAACAAAACAAACCAATTCCACAACATCAGGTTAAACCCCCTTTTATCGAGTGCGTGAAGGCGTTCGAGGAGGGGGGGGGAGGGGAAGAGAGGGGAAAAAGGGGGAGTGTTTGGCCTCTTCATCCGGAATGAACTTCAAGTATCATCAGTAAACATGAGGGACCTCTCTCTCCCCTCTCCTCTCTCCTCTCCTCTCTCCCGACTCTCCTCTCCTGTCTCCCCTCTCCCCTCCCCTCTTCTCTCTCCCGACTCTCCTCTCCTGTCTCCTCTCCTCTCTCCCCTCTCCTCTCCTCTCTCCCGACTCTCCTCTCCTCTCTCCCGACTCTCCTCTCCTCTCTCCCCTCCCCGACTCTCTTCTGTTTCCCTTCCCTCGTTGTTTCTCCTGCTCTCCCTTCTCCTCTTCCATTCTTTTTTCTTCGTTTTTGTTCTTACTAGTATTCTCTCTATTTTTGCGTTCCTCTTTATTTCCTGTTTAACGTTTTATTCTCTCATTTCTCTCTCTCCCTCCCTCTCTCTTTTCTCTTTTCATCTCTCTCTCTCTCTCTTTTCTCTTTTCATCTCTCTCTCTCTCTTTCCTCTTTTCATTCTCTCTCTCTCTCTCTCTCTCTCTCTCTCTCTCTCTCTCTCTCTCTCTCTCTCTCTCTCTCTCTCTCTCTCTCTCTCTCTCTCTCTCTCTCACTCTCACTCTCTCTCTATCCCTGAGTCCTCCTTCCCCTTCCCCCTTTTTTCCCCTGAGGGCATGTCACACGAGCGACTCTCTGCGCTGGTCCTTACGGCGGGCGGACGCAAAGGTGATAATGCCTCGGCTCCTCGTCAGACACTGTGATGTTTACCCCGCAACTAATTTCTCCACTTAACGCACCAACTCACTGGGAGTAAAGTAATTACGGAGAAGGAGGCGATTGGCTGAATGATAAAGCAAAAGGTGCGAAAAGGAGGGAGAGAAAAGAGGGAGAATCGTATATATATGTGGTGGGAGGGAGTTTATAAACGAGAGGGGGGGGAAGGGGGTAGGATGGAGGGGGAAGGGGAAGGGGGAAGGGGTAGGGTGGAAGGGGGAGGGGGAGGGGGGGAGGGAAGGGAGGAAGTGAAGGGTGCTAGGGAGGGAAGGGGAAAGGGTGGAGGGGGAAGGAAGAGGTAGAAACAGAGAGATAAAAATTAAAAAAAAAATCTACAGCAGATGGACAAATAAAAGGAAAATCATATTTAAAAACACACACACACACACCAATTTTATATATTAACATTAATGAAAGGTTCTCAGAAAGAAAACCACTCTCGTATGAAATGAGAAACAGTTCCAGTGGTCAGAGAAATCAGGCGGACGAACTGAAATCGGCTAAATCAACAAAGACTGAGTAGTGATAGATAATACTCTACTCGGTCCACAGTAGATAAGCTGGTGAGTAGATGTTGATGGACCACGAGGAAAATACAGTAGATCACAATGCAAAATACAGTGGGCAACAACGCATAAATACAGTAGTAGACAACGCAAAATACAGTGGCCAAAAACGCAAATTACAATAAACAAGAACTCAAAATACAATATTAGACAATAACGTAAAATTCAATAGCAAACAACACGAACTACAATAACAGAAAAAAAAGAACAGCAAACAACAACAGACAGAAAAAAACTTAAACAGCAAACAACAACAGAAAAAAAACGTAAACTAAAACAGCAAACAACAACAGACAAAAAAAGAAAAGAAAGAAAGAAAGAATACAAATCGTAGCCAGCGCCGCCCTCTGCAGCGACCAACCGCAAGCGCGAGGCGGAGGCGAGGGAGCCGAGCGCCGGAGAAGCGACCGCGGCGACTGGACCAATTCGGCAAAATAGAAAGGACAATTGTGTAAGGAGATGGACAATAGGGAGAGGTATATTGACAATTTAGTCGAGTAGTTGGAGATGGGAAAGGGAAATGGGACCTGACGAATAGGGTGGTAAAATAGGTTGGTAAAAGAGGGAATAGACAACGGAGCGAGAATTGATTCATGAAAAACATAGATTGACAATATACAGTAAAGTAAAACAATTGACGATTATTCGTTTTATTTTTTCCAAACTATTTCTAAAAACCGATAAATTGCAAGTGATAAAGAATAATAAAAGAGGGCAAGTGATTATAATAACAATGATAA